CACAAACCCATAAGTACCAGCATATTCAGCAAGAGCATGATTCCCATTATCATTTTTGATACTTTTTATGACAGGGTTTCAGCAAGGTTCAGCTGAAAATAATGTTTTCACTGACCACTCTTTCCTTGATTTTCGGTTTGAATCGGCTATTATCATGACTAAGAAGAACAGTCTCTTATTCATAGCCAACGGTCCTGGGGAAGGTCACATCGGCGCCAAAGACATGATGAATAGCCTTGGAAGTGCAATACACGCTCAATTTTGAAAAAAAAAACGAAAAAAACAAGATCCGCGTTTTTGTTTCTGCTATAACTCAACTTCTGTGAGCTTTCCTCAATAGAACCCTATTAGACTCAGCTCGTCGACTTCTGTAGGCTGGCATCCAAAAACAGGAGAAGTTCGAATATTGAACTCTGCCTTCCAAGTGAAGTACTTGAGGGTCACTCTTTAAGCAGTTCAGACCTCGCTATAGTTGTAACCAGAGGGTAATCGCTCGAATTAAATCATTCAGCGAATCAAATAACGTACTGTATCGCGGGGAGAAGTGATTAAACATTAGATAGTCTGTGTTCTCAAATGCTGCGCAATTTTTGTGCCAATTTTCCAGAAAATTGAGGGGTTGCGCTCGATGTCACTTCCGGACGATACAAGCCTGTTTCATCACCGCGAAAGTTTCGAGCTGTGGTTCAATTGGGACCACACGAGCACAACGCGCCTAATGCGTGGAGCCCTATTTTCTCTAATGTTCGGGAATTTCAAGAAAGAAGTCAAAAAGAAGGGCTTTTTCAACTATTCGAAATGGGCACTTCGTGCGATACTAGAACAAATGCTCGATTTTCAGCGTTTTTAAACAGGATTTCCAGCCCTCTGAGTGGCTCCACGAGCTCTATAAGAAAGCCTTGTACAGTACATCTTGCGCCTTCAAGCAATTCAGGGGAAAACAGCGGCATTTTCGGGCTGGTTGTTGTCGTTATTGTGCCAACTTCAAGGCCATTTCGAAGCAAATTTCACATGTTTTTCATATTTAGAAAATCTCGGTCAAAGTTACACCATTTGAATCCCCATGAAAAATGCTATCTATTCATATGAAAATCAACTCGTGGAACTTTCTACAACCTTTCGCAGTTTTTCCCGGCTATCTGCCTTGTCAGCGGTCAATCGACGTCCTAAGTAATCATCCCACCAAAGTGTCAGGCCATTGATCAGTCTCTGTATTGATCACTCTCAGTAATTTCTTCTACCAACATGGTTCACTGTTTCGCGGAAGGTTCGCAAGGACTGCTGATCTGGAAAATTTTTTCTTATTTCAAATTTGGGTTTTCATCAAAATTTCGAAAATTTTGTACTTTGATTACAAACTCTTCCACCATTGATTAAGAATTGTTTTCTTGTTAACTCTTAATGATCCACTAGGTCATGCATAGTTACTGAGGATCGTTCAACTGAATTCGTGTACTTGAAGACAATAGCATGGTTTCACCATGTGCAGGAATATTAACTGTTCAACAGCTTTGGATTTCCGGGAATCGCCATCGTTCTGGGTTTACAAGTTTCTGGGTACCTACTTCTTCCATACCATACACAAATACAATGTAATAATTGCTTTTTCCATCGTTATCGTTTGCAAGAAGGCCTCCAACCAATCGCAGCTGCCGACCCCCAGCGGTATCTGCGCTTATTACCTTAGGACCTTTTTCGCACACCGTCAACTGGTTACGAGCGGAATGTGCTTGAGATTTCACAACTTGTTTGAATGGAGTGGGTCTCAATGCTGAAATAAACTCTTTTACGAAATGTTCGCCATGATTCTATTCGAAGCTCAGGGTGACAGTTGAGGATTTTTGAGCTCTAAACGGCCGGAGCTTTAAGCGGAATCAATTGTTCAAAGCAGTGGAGCCTAGAAAAATCTGCCGTATCGTTAGTTCCATTACACAAGGTTTTCCAAGAAAACGAACATGAATTAATAATGGAGGTGTTTGTAATTCAAAGATTTTTACGAAATTCTTGAAATTTCGATGAAAATGAAAATTCGAACTAAGAGAAACATTTTTAAAACAGCAGTTCTCATGAACCACCTTAACCTCAAATAGTGAACGAGCCTCAAATAGTGAACAAGAGACCACGCTGGTTTGTGAAATTATTAGGTTGTCGCATAAGCTCTTGTACACGTGTTTGATCCTCTCCTATTTCGCAAAGATGTTCGTATTACGTCATCATGTGTGCGTGACGTGTACATTATACTCTTTCATTACACTAGCGATCACTCACCGAGCTTGCATTTGCAGTACACAATGTCGCACAATTACCACTGTGACAGAATGTACCTGAGCCACTGTCTGGTTTTGCTTAACGATTCACAAAAGAATCTTCGCGTTCTCAACTCGAATCACTGGAGATGAGAAGTGGGTCCTCTACGATAACCTTGTGAGGGAGCAGGAGTGGGTCGACAAAGGAGAACAGCCAGAAGCCACCTCAAAGGCCGACCTTAACACCAAAATGGTTCCCCTGTTCTGTTGGTGCTCCAGAAGAGGCATGGAGTTCTGGGAGCTGCTGGAGAAGGAATAGACGATTGATGCTTCTCCACATACTGCACCAGCTTGCGGAAATTGAAAGAATCAAGTCGACGCGTGATCGTGGAAGGAATGCGGAAATCTACTTCCACCATGACAACGCCCGACCTCACACTGCAAAGGCGACCCAGGCCGAGCTGAAGAAGTACGGATGGCTGGTGGTCGCCCACCCTCCCTACAGCCCTGACCTCGCTCCTTCTGACTACTGGCTGTTCAGCCACCTGCAACGCTATCTGGACGGAAAAAAAAGTTCGAAACAAAGGATCAGGTCAGAAAGGCACTCGACGAATCCTTCAAGTCCCAGCCCCCGTCGTTCTGGAAGGAAGGAATCGACAAGCTGCCTGAGCGCTGGCGTCGAGTAGTGGATGGTGATGATGCATACCTCTAATCTTCAGGTTGCTTCGCTATTGAGATATTTACGAAAAAAGTCGTGTATAAGAACTTATGCGACAACCTAATATTAAGACTGATCAATGGCCTGACACTTTGGTTGGCCTTATTGGAGTTTGTACACAATGTCGCACAATTACCACTGTGACAGAATGTACCTGCGCCACTGTCTGGTTTTGCTTAACGATTCACAAAAGAAGCTTCGCGTTCTCAACTCGATGATCACTGGAAATGAGAAGTGGGTCCTCTACGATAACCTTGTGATTGAGCAGGAGTGGGTCGACAAAGGAGAACAGCCAGAAAACACGTCAAAGGCCGACCTTCACACCAAAATGGTTCCCCTGTTCTGTTGGTGCTCCAGAAGAGGCATGGAGTTCTGGGAGCTGCTGGAGAAGGAATAGACGATTGATGCTTCCACATACGTGACCCTGACTTTGGTGGAAGAGTTTGTAATCAAAGTACAAAATTTTCGAAATCTTGATGAAAACCCAAATTTGAAATAAGAGAAAAATTTTCCAGATCAGCAGCCTTACGAACATTCCGCGAAACAGTGAACCATGTTGGTAGAAGAAATTACTGAGAGTGATCAATACAGAGACTGATCAATGGCCTGACACTTTGGTGGGATGATTA